GACTCGCTCGAGCTGGCTAGCTTGACTCCTACTCCTACTCCTGATCCTGCTCCTATGATTCCTCGTCCTATTATTCCTCCTCCTCCTCCTCCTCCTCCTCCTCCTCCTCCTCCTCATGCACAGTATTCCTTAGTCCTCCTCGCAAGAGCCGCCTAGCGCTGCTAGCAGCGCCGCCCCAGCGCCCCTGCGGCGGTGGCGCTGGCCCTCCGCCGTCCTGTGGCGCCCCCTATGATGGGAGGCACGTCTTTGGTCCCTCCTGCCTCTCCTCCTGCTGCCCCTCCTCTTGCTTTTGGACCCACCAAATGCGCACAATATTCGATGCGATCACCTGTGCAAGGAAAGGCGCACCAGCGAGCCACTATGCTGTTACTGTTCCTCATGCTGCTCCTCCTCCTCCTCCTCCTCCTCCTCCTCGTCCTCCTCCTCCTCCGCCTCCTCCTCCTCCTTCTCATCCTCATCCTCATCCTCAACCTCATCCTCGTGCACCTCCTCCTCCTCCTTCTGCCCCTCCCTCACATCCTTTTCCTCCTCGTCCGCCTCGTCGTGAACGTCGTCGTTGTTGTCGTCGTCGTCATTATCATCAGCATCATCATCACCACCATCAGTATCATCCACATCATCATCATCATCATCATCATCATCGTCATCATCATCATCATCATCATCATCATCATCATCATCATCATCATCATCATCAAGATCATGCTCATCATCATCATAATCATCATCAGCATCATCATCATCATCATCATCATCCTCGTCATCCCCGTCAGCATCATCATCATCATCAACATCGTCATCATCATCATCATCATCATCGTCATCGTCAGCATCATCATTGTCGTCAGCGTCATGATCGTGATCATCATCAGCAGCAGCATCATGAGCATCCTCATCATCAGCAGCATAACCATCACCACCACCACCATCACCACAGTCATCATCATCACCATCATCAGAATCGTCATCGTCATAATCATCATCATCGTCGTCATCGTCATCGTTATGATCACCAGCATCGTCATCGTCATCGTCATCGTCATCACCACCATCATCTTCGTCATCTTCGTCATCAGCATCACCACCATCACCATCATCACCTTGCACATCGTCATCATCATCAGCAGCAGCATCATCATAATCATTACCAGCATCACCACCACAGCCATCATCATCGTTACCAACAGCATCATCATCATCATCAGCAGCACAACCATCATCACCATCGTCAGTATCATCATCAGCATCGTCATCATCATCATCATCATCGGCATCATCATCATCATCGTCATCGTCACCATTATCACCATCACCAACTTCGTCATCGTCATCACCACCATTATTATCATCACCATACACATCGTCATCATCATCAGCATCATCATCATTATCAGCATCATCATCAGCATCAGCATCAGCATCACCATCACCACCTTCATCAACATTACCAACATAATCATCATCTTCACCATCGACACCATTACTAACGTCATTATCATCATCATCGTAGTCATCATCATCAGCAGCATCGTCATCATCATTCTCATCATCCTCGTCATCCTCATCAGCATCGTTATCACCGTCATCATCGTCAACATCATCAGCATCATCATCAGCAGCAGCATCACCATCACCCGCATCAGCATCGACATCATCATCAACATCATTATAATCATCATCACCATCACCATCACCATCATCATCATCATCATCGTTATCATTAGCATCATCTTCATCAGCAGCACCATCCTCATTCTCATCATTCCCGTCTTCCTCATCATCCTCATCAACAGCATCATCATCGTCAGCATCATCGTCATCATCAGCATCATCATCAGCGTCATCATCATCACCATCATCATCATCATCACCATCGTCATCATCAGCATCAACATCATCAGCATCAAGATCATGATCATCATCATAATCATCATCAGCATCATCATCATCCTCGTCGTCCCCGTCATCATCATCATCAGCAGCATCATCATCATCGTCAGCATCATCATTATCATCGGCGTCATGATCATGATCATCATCAGTATCAACATCCTCATCCTCAGCACCACAACCATCATCATCACCACCACCATCACCACCATCATCATCATCACCATCATCATCATCCTAATCGTCGTCGTCATCATCAAGGTAGTCATCATCGTTGTCATCATCATCATCATCATCATCGTCATCTTCATCATCATCGCCACCTTCGTCATCAACACCACCACCACCACCACCATCATCATCATCATCTTACACATCGTAGTCATCATCAGCAGCATCATCATCATTCTCAGCATTATCATCGTCATCAACATCATCACCACCACCATCATCATTAGTATCAACATCAACATCACCATCTCCACCGTCAACATCATCACCATCGTCATTGTTATCATCAGTACCGTCATCATCATCATCATCATCATCAGCATTGTCATCATGATTATCATCATCCTTGTCAACCTCATCAACATCATCATCACCGTCATCATCGTCAACATCGTCAACATCATCAGCAGCATCATCAGGAGCATCATCATCACCCTCATCAGCATCGTCATCATCATCAACATCATCACCACCATCACCAGCACCATCATCATCATCCTCATCGTTATCATCAGCATCATCTTTATCAGCAGCACCATCCCCATTATCATCATCCTCATATTCCTCATCATCCTCATCAGCATCATCATCATCATGGTCAGCTTCATCATCATCAGCATCATCATTATTATCAGCATCATCACGATTACCGCGATCAATGAGCAACTTTCACCACCATCATCATCATCACCATCATCATCAGCACCATCACCACCACCCGTAGCTAGCTCGACACGCAACACGCAACACGCAGCGCAGTTATACGAAGCTCAAAACGTAGACTGAACACGTCGGCCTAACGCGATAAGTTCGACAAAACGTGGGCCCATAGGTTGAGCGCACACGCAACGTGTCAACATGAGAGCCCACGGTCGTGCTCAACACGATACGTGTTGCGTTTCGAGACAGGCGTACCAGGGCAGCTAAGGCACCACCACCACCACCGCCACCATTATCATAATCATCATCATCATCATCATCATCATCATCATCATCATCATAATCATCATCATCATCATCATCAGCAGCATCATCATTATCATCATCTCAGCAGCAAGCAGCAGCCCGATCATCACAATCATCATCGTCATCATCAGCATCATCAGAATCGTCAGCATCGTCATCATCGTTATCATCGTCGCCGTCGTCACCACCATCATCAGCATCATAATCTTCATCACCATTATCATCATCGTCGTCATCACCGCCACCACCACAATCAGCAGCCATAGCGACATCATCATCATCAACATCATCATCATCGTCAGCATAAGAATGACAATCATCATCATCAGCAGCAGCAGCATCATCATCACATTCCTCCTTCATCACCAGTATCATCACCACAATCATCATCACCCTTCCTCTCCTCCCTGCACCCTCCTCCTCCTCCTCCTCCTCCTCATCCTCCTCCTCATCATCATCATCATCATCATCATCATCATCATTCGGCGATGGGGTTGCCGTCGTCAAGGTCACTTGAATGTTGTTTACTGCTCAGCGCAAAGTCGGAATCCCGTCTGCCGTCGGGCCACACTAATGGCGAACGCAAGGCATGGGCTGATCTGGTAGCGCTGGCGTTGTCAACGGTGCCGCTCACCTCGACGATGCGGTCTCCTGGGCGAGCTGCAGATCCAGGCTTGATCGAGACCGCTGAGGCAACTCTGCGAACCCTCCTCTGAAGAACCTTCCTGAAGAAGGCGAAGCCTTCCTCTGGAAGGTTTTTCTGCGCCACGGGGGGGGGCAGCGACTCAAGCCGAAACAGCTACCAACTCTTGCCGCGGCAGGGAACCCCGCCCGGTTCGGCTGGAAATTCCACGCAGCGGCCATGCGTACTGATTATTCGTAGCGCAGCAAGGCTTTTCTCCCCAACTGGCTGAAGCAACCCCATTGTGATTGAAATTATCCCCAGCACCCAGGACCTGGGAATCAGGTCCCTGAGCCCGTTGCGTTTCCGATTCTGTAGCATTGAACCCTCTAGTAATGCTAAGAAGCGGGATGTGGCGCAACAGCCTGGGGATCCCCCTCCTCCTCCTTCTCCTCCTCCTCCTCCACCTCCTCCTCCTTCTCCTCATGCTCCTCATTGTCCATTCCTCCTCCTCCTCCTCCTCCTCCTCATGCTCCTCCTCCCCCGTCTCCTCCTCCTGTACGTACCTCCTCGTCCTCGAGGCACACCCGAGAAATGGTGGCCCGATCGCAGACCTGGCCGTTTCGTCAGTGATCCTCCTCCTCCTCCTCCTCCTCCTCCTCCTCCTCTGCTCCCCTTCGTAGCAGAATCCTTCTTCCCCTCCTCCTCCTCCTCCTCCTCCTCCTCCTCCTCCCTCCTCCGCCCCCTCCCCCTCCTCCTCCTCCTCTTCCTCCTCCTCCTCTCCTCCTCTGCTCCCCCTTCGTAGCAGACCTCCTCCTCCCCTCCTCCTCCTCCTCCCTTCCTCCTCCTCCTCCTCCTCCTCCTCCTCCTCCTCCCTCCGTCCTCCCACTCCCCCCTCGTCGTCGTCCGACGTGACCGCGGCCACGTCGTCCGCGTCACGTCGGCCGACGGCTTCGGCGGCGACGACGCGGTCACGCATCCTTCGGCGGAGGGGCTTCCGGGAAAGGCCAGCCGCGCCCTTCGGGAGCTTCATGGGCGCACGCCTGCCCCGCCGCAGCCAGCGCTGCCTCCGGAGGGGGGCTACCAGAAAGGGGGTGAGGCTGACGCCTGACTCGGTCAAAAGAGAGGAAAGCGGCACAACCGTATACAGTGGGACCTAGGCCAGAAGAACATCCTTCAAGAACATGGGACCCTCCGTCGGCCAAAAACACTCCGAACATCCAAGGAGACCCTCCCCAGGATGCACACGAGCTTCCAACAAAGAAGAAGAAGAAGAAGAAAAAGAAGAAACAGAAGAAGAAGAAGAAGAAGAACACTAGGGTACCCTCTCGGAACCGATCTCTGAGGTCTGCGCGGATCTCTTGGATCGGCGCTGGGCGCACCTACTCTGGCGCGCGGAGCACGCCAGGGGCGCCGCCGGAGGCGCCGCCAGGGGGCCCAGCTCCGCGCCGACCCCTGGAATCCGCGCGCACCTTCTAAAGTTTATGCCCATGCGGGGAAGAGGCTGACGCCTGTCACTGGTGGCATGTGGGCGGCGAACTGCAGGGGCCTTATTCGCGATGACACGGCGCAGGGCTTACGACGTGGCAGCTCACGCGCGCCGCTGGTGCGGCACGCGGCGTGGGAAATGAGGGCGTCCCCGCGCGATCTCACCCAGGCAGCTCGCGCGCAGCTGCCCGCGCGGCCGTTCTCACCTCGGGCGCCGCTCGTGCGGCGCAGGCGCGAGCTGCTGCCCCTGGCCGTGGCCCCCGATGGGGAAGGCCAAGGGGGGGTCGAACCTCGGAGCGCGCAGGGGCCACGGGAGGAGGGGCCGACGCACGGAGGACACCGGCCTCCTGCTGCCAATGCTGCTGCTGTCCCCCCCTGCTGCTGCTGGCGGCTGCGGTCACTCCATCGATGATCGAAGGGCGGTGCCGAACTCCGAAGCCGCCAGGGTCACGAGGAGGAGGAGCTTCATACCATCGTGCTCCTTCGTTAGGGGAACGAAGAATGAAACGAAGAGTGACAGAAACATAACAACTCAGAGGTCCGCACGGATTTCTCGGATCGGCGCCGGAGGCGCCGCCAGGGGGTCCAGCGCGCGCGGATCCGAGAAATCCGCGCGGACCTCCGAGTTTTTTCGTTTATGTCATTCTTCATTCCCCTGTTCGCCCCCCATCGGGGATGGACAGACCTCCCTTTAGTAAAACGTGGTTTAGTGAAAACGACCTGAGGCCCAAACCTGGCGGGCGCAAGCCTGGAAAATAACGGCCGCGGCGCCCTCTCGAGAGCCGAAAACGGACAATTCACTAATCGACGTGTCACTGTTGGGGGTTCTGTCCGCCCCCGACTCCACATCAGATAAGGAACCCTCCAGGGTCTGAAGCCCCCCCGGACGCATTCCTTAACCAACGCCCCCACCCTACCAGGGTCAGGAGGCGGGGGGGGGAGGGAGGGTGATGAGGTAGGAGCAGGAAGAGGAGGAGGAGGAAGAGGAGGAGGAAGAGGAGGGTAGGAGCAGGAAGAGGAGGAGGAGGAAGAGGAGCAGGAAGAGGAGGAAGAGGAGGAGGAAGAGGAGGAGGAAGAGGAGGAGGAGGAGGAGGAGGAGGAGCTCCTTCGCCCCTGCAGGGAGCAGCGGCGCCGCTGCCGGAGGTGGGCGCCAGTGGCGCCGAGCAGCAGGGATGCACTTCACCGAGGACCCCCGAGGACACGGGAGGCGAGGCGGGCCGAGGCGGCGCTGGCCACGGCGGCACGGGCCGCGGCCCTCGCAGATGGATCGAAAGGGGCCCTGGCGGGCTGGTTTTCTGGCCGCTTCTGAGGCTGATCATTTCGGGCATACGGCTTTTCCCTCCGACCGTCTGACATGTCCACAGCCTCCAGGAGACATTCTGTGACATGTTCATTCTGCCGTTGCACAGTTATGGTGCCAAGAATGACTCCAGATTTCGTGATAAAAGGGAGGGGGTCTGGCCCCTCCAAGACAAGCCATTTCAGACCTCCCCCGTGGGAGAACCCTCCAAAACATCGTCCCCAGACCCCCCAGGCCCTCCAAGATAGCCTGGAAGAGACCCTCCCCCGAAATGAGACCCCCCTCCCTTTATTACGAAATCTGGAGCATCTGAGTTCTCAATCATGGAGACACTCGTCCGGCGAGGGCCGCAGCCCAGGTCGCGAGGGCTCGCGCCGCGGCCCTGGGGCCTGGCGGGGTGCGTGCTCTCCGTCCCGCGGCAGGCCTTGTGGCCCTGCGTTGGTCGGAGGACGGAGAGAGGGAGAGGATGATGGCGAGGAGGAGGAGGAGGAGGATGAGGAGGAGGAGGAGGAGGAGGAGGAGGAGGAGGAAGAGGAGGAGGAGGAGGAGGAGAGGAGGAGGAGGAGGGAGGAGGGGGAGGGAGGAGGGAGGAGGGAGGAGGAGGAGGAGGAGGAGGAGGAGGAGGAGGAGGAGAGGAGGAGGGGGAGGAGAAGGAGGAGGAGGAGGAGGAGGAGGAGGAGGAGGAGGAGGAGGAGGGAGGAGGAGGAGGAGGAGGAGGAGGAGGAGGAGGAGGAGGAGGATGGGACCAGACTCGGGGGACAGACGCGTGGCCGCCGCTCGCCGCTGCCAGGCCCGGGCGTGCCTTCTTCGGCGCTCCTGCAGGGCACGCGCTGGGGGTGCGAGGCCCTTGCGCGAACAGGCTGGAGCCGAGGCTGGAAGCCCTCGGCCGAGGGCCAGGATGGTCCTGGGACTGGGTCGGGCATGTCCTCCTACAGGCGGATTCTGGAGGAAAACTGGAACATGTTCAAAGCAAAGTCCAAAACAGTCCACAAAGGCTCAAATAATCGTCCCCAGGCTATTTTTGGCTGGACTCTTTTCGAACATTCCTCCTGTAGAGGGACACGCCCGACTTAACCCTCGCACGTCGCTGCCCTGTGTGCAATCATGCTCGAGTGGTTTTGTGGCGGAGCGCACAAAAGGGACGGCGCGGAGCTTCTCAAAAGGCAGGGTGCTACTTGGAAGCCCTCCCGGCTTCGACGGATTCTTCTTGCAAGCCTCCGGGTCAGAAGGCTCCTGTCTTCTAAGAGGCCGCATGCTTGAGAAGCACGTCGCTCTCACGCCACCCCGCTGTGCGCGCCACCAGATCTGTCCGATTCCCCAGAAGCCGAGGTCACAGGGAGCACGACAGGGCTAGCTCGCAGCCCCTGGGATGTGCTTGCGGGTTCGACTCAGACCTGTCCAGCCCGAGTAGGGGGCCCTCGAACTGGATTGAACCAGAGTCGCACCCATATTCAGCAGATCGGGCCAGTAAAACCAATTCGAACTCCCAGGGGGTTGCAACCTGAACGGGGGGCCAGAATGCCATGGAACCCCGTGGGGCTCCAGGCGGCCTCGGCCCGAGATGGCCAAAGGGACCCGATCGACACCGCTTGGCCAACTGCACAAACCCTGGGTGCGCTCGCTGGCGTTAAGCTCGCTCAGGGGGCCAACACCAACTCCCACCGGCGAAGCCGCCGCTGCACGGCCTCTGCCCGCCTCCGCGGGCCTCCGGCCGGCCTCCGCCGAGGGCCTCGAGGGCGACGGGTCGGCTCCGCGATCCCTCCAGGCCGAGGGAGCACCCCGCCTCGGACCTGCCCTGGAACGCCTCGCTGGGAGCGAGCGTTCCCCATGCAGACGCATCGGCGGGCAATAGTTATGTCCACACCCAGCGAGTCTTGGAGTTTTGGGCTACCTTCCCCAGAAACTGGAGGCGCACTGGATATGGATAAACATCTGGCCCCCGAAGGCTCGATTTTATCCATATCCAGTGCGACTCGGCCTTGCGGTACCCCTTCCCAGACATTCCAAGACAATCTTCATATGGAAATAAGTATTGCCCGCAGCATCCCAGGACCACAGGGCGCGGCGGCAGCTTGGGGGACACGAGGGCGGCAGCAGGATCGGCGGGAGCGCCCGCCCTCCTGCAGGAGCGGCGCCCGTCCCCTGCCTCGCGCGCGAGCGGCACGCAACGAAGCTGCAGCAGCCGGGAGGCTGGCACGAGGACCTCAAGGCTGATGGGACTGCACGTCTTGTTTCCAGGGGCTACCCCGCCGACTACCACCGCGTCAACAGCTAGTCTGCGTCGCAGCGTGAAATGAGGAGGCGCCCTGCCAAAGCGGAGGAGGAGTGAAGGGAAGAGGCCGAAGCACATAAAGCGAGGCCAGGGAGGCGGGGCAAAAGCGCAGTGCGAACATGTTCTTTGTGGCCCAACCCGCCACTTATATAATCAGCAGGCCACGCCACGCCAGCCAGAAAAGTATGATTACGCTGGCCAGTAAGGCAAGGCGGAAAATTACGATCCCGCAAGTTGCTCACAACTTGGAATCCGCAGCTGTCCTGCAGCGTGCAGCGTCCAAAACATCGATGGGCACTCCTAGCTCAAGCTGGCCTCACGCAAACCGCCCGGTGCAAAGTCGGACAAAACGCTCTGCCTCTACATCGCCCTGGGTCGGGCCAGGCATCGAACGGAGCCATCTGCGCACAGAGGCATCCTCCAACATGATCTTCGCTTCTTCCGTCGGGGTCGCATGCTCTGCGAGAAGCTCTGCCAGAGACTCCTGGTCCAGCGGCATGAAGAGCAGCTGCAATGCCATCCACGTCTCTGCCGGGGTCGCGGCACCACCGTCTGCAAACCGCCCGGAGGGCGGGTTCAGGGTGCAGAGAAGGCCAGACGCATCGGCCAGTCGGAACGCGTCCAGCATGCTGATCGCACTGATGCGTGGTGCCTTTGCCGCTGCCGCCAACATGAGCCGCAGCACGCGCCCAGCAGCGCGACCACGGACACTGTCGGACAGGAGGGCCGATGAGCTCTCCTCGACCACCTGCTGCAGCGCCGCTGGGCCGCCGTCCGGAACCGCGACGCCGAATCGCTCGCGCAGACGAGCCGTGCCTGCGAAAGCTGGAGGTGCACAGGCCGCCACGCGCGCCTCGCGCGCAGCCGTCCACGCCTCTGGGTGGTCCCTCAGCACCGGCGCGCCGCGCCCCAGGAGGGCCTCCACCTGCGCACGGAGCCTGCCGTCGCGGCAGTCGGGGAGGCGCCCGCGGGCGCCGAGCACCTCGCCCGCGGCGTCGCTGCCCGCCTCCAGGCACGCCGCCGCGCACGCCTCGGTGGCAGCCGACAGCACCTCGAGCTCGCGAGGCTCGAGCTCTGCATGCAGCGCTGCAGTGGCTGCAATCGCCTCGGCGCGCTGCTGCAGGCTGGAGCCCTCGAGCGCCTCCACCGTGGCCAGCCAGGAGTAAGCGAGGACGGAGCGCACGGCAGCTTCGGCCTGGGAGGTGAAGCTGCCGTCGCCGAACTGCCACACCTCGGGGGAAGGGGGAACGCTTGGCAGCTTCTCACACAAGAGGTGTCACTGAAGAGGCATGCGAGGATGCACCTTCCCCAGACGCACCTGCACTGATAAGAACTGCGTTGGCCGCCACCCGACTTGGGCAATCCCAACGGCTCCCGCGAGAAGCCCACGGCCAAGCACCAGCCGAAAACACAGAAATTCCAGCCAGCGCACGGGGCGCCGGCGAAGCAACCGATGATGGAATGAGGCATATCGATCAGTACAGCACAGGCCACGGATCACAAGCAATGAGCTACGAACCATCAATCAAACAGGAGGCACCAATTACGAGACACGAAATAAGCTGCACGAAACGAGAACCGGCAATCACTACCCACGAACTGAAATTTACGCACCACCAGCCACAAATCTCAGGCGAGAACCAGGGACCACCAACAACGAGCCGACCAAGAACCACGCGCCACGAGGCGCAAATCATGAAGCAAGTGCCAAGAACCAAGATCCACGAACCAGCCCGAACAAAGAGTCGTTAACAGCGAGCCACAAGCCACGAAACCTCCTGTGCCACAAGCCACACACCAGCCACGGATCACAAACCGCAGGCCAAGGGGCGAAAATCACAAATGACGGGTCACACGCCACGGCGTACAAAACACTGGCAATTAACTACGAACGAATCGCGAACAATGCGCTGTGATCCACAAATCACGAAGCAGAACATTCTAACCAGCCAACACAAAAGGGGATGTTCGGAGAGCCACCCAGACATCCTGAGTCGTAGAGGATTGGTGAATAGAAATGGACAAAGAGATCGTCATGTTGTCCACATGGGGTATTTTGTGTTACGGGGGGGTGGAGGGTCGGCGGGGGGCAGTAACAGTAACGGCGGCTGCGGCGTGCACCCCCGAGGCGCGCCAGCAGCGGCCTGTGTGCACGACATACCTGTGTACACGACAACGCCTGCGTGCACCACAGCGCCCGTGTACACCGCAGTACCTCTGCACACCAAGGGCAAGCGCGTGCACCACGTCGCCTGCGTACACCACTGTGCCCCTATGCACCGCTGCAGCCTCTTTTTTTCGCAAAGCCCCAGGAGGACGGCGCTGACCGACGCCCCCCGCGCGCGCCACGGGCGCGCGGAGGCCTGCAGCCGCCGACGACGCGTGGGCCGTCGCGGCGCGGGGCAGCCGCCGACGACGCGGGGCCGTCGAGGCGCTGGGGGCGCGGTGGTGGCGCCGAAGGGCCGCGCGGCTAGCGCGGCCGCGCGGCGGGGGCGGCCGCGCTCGGCAGCCGCCGCGCCGTCCACGAGGCGCGCCGAGCTGGCGGGGTGCTGGCCTCTGCGAATGCGGTCAGCCCGAAGACGTCGGACGCGCCCCGCCTCGCCCACGTGTGGGGCGCACTGGGATGCCAGGGCCTTGACGCTGCCGAGGTGCTCCCTGGCGTGGGCGTGGCACCGCGCGCACAGTGCGTAGCCGAAGGCGCGCTGCGCGACGTGGCCGAAGGCGTCGCGCGCCCGCGGCGGGCAGTCCTCGTCGTCAGGCTCGCCCCCAAGGGGCACCGCTGGGCCCGCCGACGGCTGGCGCGGCTGGCGGCCGAGTCGTGGGGATCGGGACCTCGCGGCATCCTCCGAGGCCTGCTCGCTGGGGGGGGTCCGGCCCCGACCTGGCCGCTGGCCGCGGTGGCGCCCTGGGTCGCGGTGGCCCGCGCGGGGGCGGGCGGCTGCCCCCCCCCCCTGCTCGGCGCTGGGCCCCGGCCGCGGGCCGAGCCGAGCGCGCCTGCGGTCGCGGGCGCCTGCCCCGCCGCACTCGGCGTGGGGTCCTGGCTCCGATCTGGGCCGGGCTCTCCTGGTCGGCCGTCGGCGCCGTCGGGGGCTGCAGCAGTCGCCGCCGCCGCCGCCGCCGCTAGGGCCGCGCCTGCTGCCAAGCTGGACGGCGCCGCCCCCCCGGCCGCCGAGGCGATCTTGGGGGCGCACGGGGTCCGACACAGCACCTGCTTCGACCTCGTGGTGCGCGCCGTGCGCAGGCAAACCGTGCAGCGCCAGTGGCCCGAGGCGAGCGTGCCGAACGAGTGCTCGGCGAGATGGAGGCGGTCCTTGTTGGCCTCGTCGCGGGCCACATAGCCGCGGGTCTGTCGAGCCTGTCGGCAGCCGCGGGGGCACCGGCCGTGGCCGCCCAGCGCGTGGCGCCGTCGACGAAGAGCTGGGCGCGCAGCTGCCGCTGCCTCTCGGCCATGGGGGCGCGCAGGTGGTAGGCGATCCCGCCTGCGACGTGGTCGGCCTCGTAGTTGCCGCGGTGCTGCGTCCTCGTGATGACGCCGCGGGCGACGTGGGCGAGGGCGGCGCGGCCCTTGATCTTGACGATCGTGAGCCCCGCGGGGCCGACGCCGCCGAAGTCGTGGAGCGCCTGCCACGCCTGCCGCCAGGGATGCCCCCACGCTGAAGACGCCAGCGTGGCGCGGGCCTCGCCCCGAAGGTTGATGCCGTCGACGACGAAGCTGGCGTCGCAGTGCAGCTCGATGGGCGGGGCGGCGCGCCGCAGGACGATGAGCACCGACAGCAGCTCCGCGCCCTCGATGCTCTGCCAGGGCCCAACCAGAGGCGCGCCCAGCGCCTTGGTGCGGCTGCCAGCGCCTGGGTCGACTTCCTCGGTGCCTGGAGGAAGCTCGACGACCGCTGCCGCGGCCTGCGCACCACGGCACTCGGCAAGCTGCGCGTCGCACAGCGAGCCGTCGCAGTAGAGCGGCTGGCCGACGAAGGGCTCGCCTGGCTCGCCGCAGCACCAGCGGAGGTGGTCGAGGAAGCCGCCGCCGGGAGACCTCCACTGGAGCCGTGGGGCTGGAACGAGGACGCGCCCGACGATGTATTTGACGACCGCGTTGTCCTTCTGCGGCAGCAACAAGGCGATCTCGCGCGGGAGGCTGAGGCCGTGGTCCTGAATGGCGCTGCAGCAGAGGTGCATTTGCCAGATGTCGCCGACCTGGTCAGGGCAGAGCTCGCAGAGGTCCGAGGGGGCGCACCTCGGGTTGTTGCCGTGCGTCCTGGCGTTGGTCCACTGGCCGTCGACGATGCAGGACCTGAGGTAGCCGCGCTGCTCGCTGCTGGGGCTGGGCCAGCCCCGCGTTTCCTGGGAGGTGCCACGACCGCTGGCCGTCCACCGCCGAAGCTGGCCGACGTTGATGCCGACGTCGAGCCAGGAGGCGTCGTGCTTGCCGAGCTGTTTCGCCTGCCAGTTCTCGCAGCTGCGGCCCAGCAGCTTCTTGGTGAGCCACGGGCTCGCGTCGCTGACGCCGCGGTGAAAGCCGTCGCGCGTGGTCCACGCGTCCAGCGAAGCCGCCTCCCAGCCCACGCGGCGCATGGAGGGGGGAGCGACCCCCACGGGGCCGCGGCAGTCTGTCCAGCTGCCCGAAGAGGCAAGGGCCGCCGCGAAGACCTTGTCCAGGGCCTGCCTGGGGAGCCACTGCTCCCAAACTGCCCTGTGCAGCGTGCGCGCTGGGCCGTGCGTCGCCCTGAACACGGGGTCGTAGTCCCTGCCGGTGGTGGCGAGGACGGCGGTGCGGCTCTTGCCAGAGGGCCTGATCTGGACCGACCTGAACGCCAGCGCGCGCGACGTTGAGGTCGGTGTCGCTGAGCTCCGTGCAGCAGACGCCGTAGGCGAAGCTGGCCTCGACTCCCTGCTTGAAGTTCCTCGCCGCGACACAGCGGCGGCGACCTGGGCCCAAGAGCCTCCTGAGGCGAGGGAACCGCCGCGCGGCCTGCTTGAGACGACGCCGACGGACGAGCCTGGGCGCCCGCCCAGCCAGGGCGTAGTCCACCCCAAGTCTGCGGGCGGCCCCCACTGGCAGCGCCTTGGCTGCCTGCGCCAGGCGGCTCTCGAGCGTCGTGGCCGCTGCGGGCGTGCCGGCCAGCAGGAGCGACTTCTTGGTGGCGACGTGGATGTCCACCGTGCGCAGCTCGCCGACGACGCTGGCGACGCTGGCGACGAGGTCGTCGGTCGCGCGCCTGCTGCCTCCAACCCGCTGGACGACCAGGTCGTCGACCACGACCGACGGGGCGATGCTCGGCGAGGCCCGCAGTGCGCGGTCGAGTGGGCTGAGGAGAATGAGCTTCATGAAGAAAGTGGGGCCCACATGTCCCCAGCGAGGACCGTCCGCTGCACCTCGGTGAGGTCCGAGGCCGCGCCGTTGAGCTCCAGCGCCCGAGGCAAACGGTAGAAGGAGATTTGGAGCTTCACCGCCCAGACAGGTAAGTCGTGCTGCACGGCGGCGTCGATCAGGTGCAGGTGCCTCAGCTCCTCGAATGCCTTCCACAAGTCGAGGATGACCGCCACCGAGCTCCAGTCAAGGTCGGGCATCTCGCCGCGCTTGGCCTTGAGCCGCTCGCTCCAAGCCAGCTGCTGCCAGACCGCGCGCTCGCAGGCCTTGCCTGCGCAGGCCCACCAGAAAGCCCTGGGGTGGGCCCTCTCCCAGGCGGCCGCGACGTCTCGCCGCGGGCGCCCGTGGGCGCGGACCAGGGCGGCGAGGAGGGCGATGGGCCTTCCGCCACCCTCCCTCCTGCTGATGAACGCGAGCTTGCTGATGAAGGGGGGCCAGCAGCACTCCTGCTCGACCCTCAGGAGCAGGCCGATGTTGGCCTCGACGCCGCTGTCGTCGAAGGCGTCGAAGTCGCGGGGGCAGAACGCGTCGCAGCTCGCGCCCGCGGCGGCGGCGACGCCGCGGAAGACCTCGCGCATGCGGGCGACGGATGGCCGCGGAGGCCGCTCGCCGAGGTCGGCGGGCCACCGCGGCGGCGCCACGGGGGCGCCGACGTTCCAATGGCGCGTCCACTCCTCGACGAGCAGCGGCGGCCCGTCCTCGCCGTCGGGCGCGTCGGCGGCCAGCGGGCGAGGGTGCCAAGGCATGGGCTCGCGCGTGAAGGCGCGCAGCCCTTTGCCGCCCGGCGCGTGCTGCTGGTCGATCCAGCTGTCGAAGCGCTTCCTCGCCAACTTCATGGCGCCCTCGATGCGCTGCTTGGAAAT